CCCAAACTATTACAAACATCAATATGGGGTAAAGTACGGCAAAGATTGGAGCCATAACCATTTATCGTAATAACCCTAACTAGTATAAAGTTAGGGACTTAGGGTCATAACTCATAAAATTAAATACATATACCTTGTCAACAATTTCATTTTTAATAGGCCAAATTGTATTCATATAAAGTTTTAAAAACTTGACACCTTTATTTTTAATCACAGTTCATGTTTGGTAGAGCAGCGATGTGCCACTTGGTGACCGGGGTCTAGGCATGGACCCGGTTCGGGCCGCCCGGCCCGGGACCGGCCCGTCCCGCCACTGTGCGGGCCCGGAACCGGCCCGGTTCTCGGGTCCGGGTCCGGGTCGGGCCTAGGCCCGGTGGGGGGGCGGGTCCGGGCTCGGGCCTTGTATTTGGCGAACCGGCCCGGCCGGGTCGGGCCCGGGCCAAATTGATTTTTTTTTTTTTTTTTCATTTTTTGGGGTTAGCGGGGTTGTGCTTGATGGTTAGGAGGGGTTTGGGGGGGGTGGGGGGTGAGTGGGGGGGTTAGGAAAGCAAAAAAAAAAAAATTATGACCGAACCGGAGGCCCGGCCCGGACCCGGACCGGACCCGGTGGCTACCCGGGCTGGTCCCGGGCCTTCCTTCCCAAAAAAAAAGCCCGGCCGGGACCGGCCCGGAACCGGCCCGGCCCGGGTCCATGACTACCGGGGTCAAAGTGGGAGTTGCAACCACAGCTCCGGTCATCACTTCACCACACATCATCTTTTTCACCTTCACATAGCAGTAAGCTTCCACGAAGGAGACAGTGAACAGTAACCATTAAAATGAAGGTGCCCAGAAAATAAAACTAAAAACATTGGGAGTTGCACAGAAGCTTGGTTATGTGCAGAGAAAATAGTGTAGTCTTCAGCGGTAAATTGCAAAAATAGGTCAAATGATCACTCTAGATGATGAAAGTTGATGGGTAAGCTCCAAATCCAAATATCCAACCATCCGCTCTTGATTTATCAGCAAAAAGCGTTCAATGGCGAACATTGATGTGCAACGTGATTTCCACATTTTGTATATGCGGGAACCATTATTCATACGATTCCCTTAAAAAAGTTCAGAACCTCTGCTTAAAAAAGTTCCAGTTAAAATTCTAAGTTTTTGTGTAATACAATTGCCCAGTCAAGTGAATGATGGAATTACAGTGAAAAGAGTGTATATCCCTCCAAAATAGGGTTGGACTCGGGCCGGGCGGCCCGAACCGGAACCGGCCCGGTCCGGCGGCCCGGCCCATGGGCGGTTCAGGTCGACCCGGCCCGGTGGCTACCTGTTCCGGGCTCGGGCCTTCATTTTGGTGAACCGGCCCGGCCGGTTCGGGCCGGATTTAATTTTTTTTATTTGATTTTTTTAAGCTTTTGGGTTGGATTGGGTATTTTGGGCCATTTGAGGTGGTTTGGGGTGGTTTGGGTTTGAGGGGAGGGGGTTGATTAGGAAAACACCCCAAAAAAATATATATATAGAACCGAACCGGGCCCAGCCCGGCCCGAACCGGACCCGGAGTTACCCGGGCCTCCCCTACCTTGAACCGAGGCCCGGCCGGTTCCAGGCCCGAACCGGGCCCGGCCCGGAACCAGGCCGGGCCCGGAACCGGTCCACCCCTACTCCAAAACGAGCATCCAGATTTGGAATTGAAGAAGGTTTGAACTCACTAGTCAATATAGCCAACTCTCTTAAACTGCTAACCTATATTCCCAAAAAAACAAACTGCGAAACTATTCAAATCACCCCCCCCCCCCCCCCCCCCCCCAACCGCCAACATATCATAGAAGGAGTGTTTGTGTTTGCTTTAAAAATGCGCTTTTCAGCTTTTGGCGTAAAAAAAGTTGAAAAGAGTGTTTTCAAATGACAGCTTCTGTTTAAATTAATCACTTAAAAGCTAAAAGCTGGAAGCAGGTAAGATGGTGCTTTAAACTGCTTCTCACTTTTTCTATTACACAAAAAGTACTTATTTTACCAAACACTACCAACTTTTACTTTTCCAGAATCACCTTTTTCTCAAACACTACCAACTTTTACTATTAATCACTTTTCCCAAAATCACTTTAAAAAACCACTTTTTAAAAGTTGAAGCAATTGCAAACACTCCCAGAATAAGAAAAGTTCATGGACTTCCAACATTATGAAGTATCATCTTACACCAAGTGAAAATTGCTTTCAAAATCCATCAAAACAAGAAACAAATAACGGATGCATTACATAATATATAATCATGGATGCCATATGATCTGCTCCAAACAAAAGCAACAAAGCCATAATATGAGCTAGGGGTGGGCAATTCGGTTTACGGTTCGGTTTTCTTCGGTTTCGGTTCGGTTTCGGTTTATTCGGGTTGGGAGAATTTGTACCAAACTAAAACCATTTGTGTTTCGGTTCGGTTTCGGTTCGGTTCTGGTTCGGTTCGGTTTGAAGTTCGGTTTACCAAAGTACAAAACATTATGTTTAATTTAGTTTGATTGGATACATTTGCTTATGTTTATTATTTTATTTGATTAAGTTCTATATTTCGAATTAGAAAATGAAAGTTGATTAAGTCCATCTTATCTTTTTTTAATTTATTGATTATTTAAATAAAATGTAAAAGAAAATAAAAGATAGAAAAATAAATAATAAAATATTATAAATTGAAACTTCTAACATCTTTTTTATCACTACAAAAAATTCACTTCTTACAAAAAATAAGATAGTTGATTAGCATTTATAATATCACATAAAATATTCATAAAACCTAAAAGAGTCGGTGGTACAAATGTTGTAATATTCACAATTTTATTCAAATGAATCATGTAAAAATATAAATGCAATTTGCTACTGTTATCGCCAAACATAATAAATACAAATATGTCGTATTAGCTAACTTTTTCACAATGATTGTATGTAATGTGTAAAAGTTAAAATGATATGAGTATATGCTTAAATATATGTATTTTCATGTCTAAATTATTTATTTATATCTTAAAAATGAAGAGTCATGAAGGTAAATACAAAGTGTGTGTGTCTGTGTTGTTCGGTTCGGTTTACGGTTTTCCATTTTAAAGCAAACCAAACCAAAGTACCAAAACATTTGGTTTGAACAAATGTTTACCAAACATTTAAGTAAACCTAAAAAAAACCAAATCAAACCACCAATTTTAATAATATATGAAAGTTTTTTGAGTTTCTTTAGTTCGGTTCGGTTTTGTTCGGTTTTTATCGGTTTCGGTTCGGTTCGGTTCGGTTTAATACGGTTTGAAAGAAATAGTACCAAACTCAAACCAAATTGCATACGGTCCGGTTTCGGTTCGGTTTAGTTCGGTTTGGTACGGTTCGGTTCGGTTAAACCAAACCGTTATGCCCACCCCTAATATGAGCAGTGATGGTAGATAATTAACTCACTAGCTAGTGGCTACCAAAGAGCTTTGGGTGGGCCACAAGTTTGACAAAAAAGATCAGTGGAAGGTCTCTTAGGAAAGCAATAAAGCGCAGAAGAGTATAGTAACAACAGTACAACTTTCCAAGCATGGTATTCCAATAATAGTTCAGTGTGGGGTGATCACTGAGATAAAGCTCTCGCCAAGATGATATATATTCATTCCCATTAGACAAGAGGTTGCTTTATTTCTGTCCACTACGTGCATAAAGTAGTAACCAGCTTTTTTTATCAGCAATGTTTAAAACAAATGAAGAAACCGTCATAGGAAGATATAGTCATTATTATTGATAAATAGAGGATATGTCACCTGTGGGGAAAAGTTTGGCATAACTACTCAGAAGACTGATATTACAATGAACACCTACAGTTTCAGGATTATTTACCATAATAGCAAGAACACCTAATCATTTTAACAACCACCTAATCACTACAATAAACTCCAAAACCTTCCACTATAATTATTACACTTAATGGCAGTGGCCTTTGAAGTGTACGAAACAGAATAATATCATAAATCCACTTGTGTATAATAAAGCAATTCATACCCCCACTACATTTTCTTTTACACTAACGTGATGTTCCTCTCCTGCTTTTTTATTTTTTTTACTCCTTACTTGTTGAGATATTCTTATTTTCATCCGAACTCATAAAAAACAATTCAGAGCAGAGCAGCTCAAACCTATTCAGAAACAGTCAAACCAAAGCATATGACACGTTTCAGACATAAAGAATAAATTTCAGATAAAAACATACAAACAAGACAACCTGTAATAAAAAACATCCAACCAAGGACTACGTTCTCTAAAGATGAAGATACAAAGAATTGGTTTCTCTAAAGCATTCCTGAAAGTGACTAACAATAGAGCAGCCTTATTTCACATGAAATCCAGTTTAGACTGATCTACGTTCTTCATTTTCAAGACATAGAACGTGTAACTAATGTACTTTATTAACCAGCTAAAGTGTAGACCAAGGACAACATAAGTAATCAGGTGTGCTTAGAATGTGTGCACTACTATGTCATTCCCAACGCATAACTGCCCCGCCAGGGAATGTACAATTGGATGCTTTCTTGTGCTCCTGGCCTTTTACTGGCTTTTTATTCAGTTAAAACTAAAAGCATTTGTCAGTAAATGTGATGTCTAACAGAAACAGTCAAACACCTTGATGTATAGAAAGGCTGTGGCTGATTACAAATTAGAGAAAATTTGGTAATGAAATAGATTAGCATTTGTTCAGAGCAGCATACACCAAGAGGCTTCAAATCAAGAGTTTGATTTAGGTATACAGATGCTGATATTACGGAGAAAAACTTCTGCAACTCAAATGCCAAAGCCAATAGTGCAAAAAGAACAAAAAGTGAACCATTAGAGATATTTAGAGCTCCTTAGGTAGGCTTTAGTTTTGTCCAGTTAGTCTTACTAACCAACTTTTGCCAACACTAACTATCGTCACAGTACAGAAGTGAGTTCATTTTTCACTTGATTACCAAAGATTCATAAAACCAATATTTTTAGCTTTCTTTTTAGACAGTATTGTCTTTACATCATTTTAACATATATGGACTATTTATAATATTTATAATTTAAATAACTCGTTTAATTCAGCCATGACAACTACAACTTCACCCATTAAAGTCTTAGCAGAAGGGCTCTTAAAGAACAAGGGTTGAGGGAATGGAAGCAAAGACTTCCATCGTGTATCATATATGGACAATATTCCCAGCCAAAACAGAAATGACTAGTTGATAGGTTCTACATCTAAGAAACAATAAAATCACTATAAAAAATCAATCCCCAATGGCACACACTCCTCAAGTCGAAATTAGAGCGAGGATCACAAAGAAACCAATTACCACAAAGAGCACCTTTAGGGCAGTATCAGCCTGCTGTTGTTGATATGAGCGACGAGGGAACCTATGAGCAGGAACGCCATGAAACGCGTTTGGATATCCATATGGATGACCAGCGGCTGCCCCATACATAGCAGCATCAGGGAAACCATTCACTTGAATGTTGAAAGATGGGATGAGACCACCAAATGCTGCCGAGAGAGCAAAGTTCCCAAACAAAGACGGAATGAGACCACCAAATGCCGTAGAGATTCCAAAGTTACCAAACCTAGCAGCTCCCATTGGAGCAAACCCACCAAACCCACCGGGAAACCCGAACCCATTCTGTGGGAAAGCATTTGGTTGTGGCGGAGGAGCAGTTTCAGGCCTCTGCCCAGTGGGGCGATGAGGAATTTCCATTCCCGGAATAGACCTTGACCTAGGATCGGTCGAGTTCTTCCCCCGACCATATAAAGGAACCAACTTTTCTTCCTCAATACGAGCCTTACAGACAGGGCATTCACTGCATTGGGAGTGAACGTGAAGCCACTTGTACATGCAAGGCCAGCAGAATAGATGTCCACAGAGTGTAACAATTGGGTCTTGCGCCAAGTCCAAGCAAATATTGCACTCAAAATTCGCAGCATCACCTCCACCATTAGAGAATGAAGAGCTTGGGGGTGTCCTGCTAGTCCCTTCCCCAACCCCACTCGCCATGTCTAAACCTCAATTGGAAACCCTAACGAATAGATAAAGAGAAAAAATCATAAAAAGAAATATAACACATTAACACAACACATATCAACAAATAAGAACATCATTGCTTCTTCAAAAACATGGCCCATTAAAACTTAGAAAATGAACTATTAAATGATTTATCTGTTCTAATCATAAAATATGATTACTACCTATCTTTATTCTTTAGGGCGAAATGGATACTTTTTACTAGATCGCATGTATATATATTTGAAGGACATACTACTCCTGTTAGCCATTTCTTAGGGATAAAACTCATGTATAATCGTCAAACTACCCCCAACATTTTATACAACTGTAGACAACCGATTATCTATAAGATAGAGTGAGAGAGATGACCTTAACGGATGTGAGAGAACGATGCAGAGATCGACGGATCGAAAAATCGATCGATCGATCGACCAGCTGAAGGATTGATGGAATCCGACTCAATGAAGCGGGACGGGAAAGTTCGCTCGATTGACGGAGAGATTGAGATGGACAGAATCCTTCTACGCTTAAAACGCGGACATGCTTTCTGCATCAACAATGAAATCTGGACCGCGTTGCACGAAATCGCAGCCTCTCTGGCTCCAACTAAAACTAGGAGCCGTTTGGTAGCAAGAAAATTGGATGATTTGACTGATTATGTTGAAATTTATAAAGTTCTGCCTAAAGTGGTTGCATTGGCTGATTCTCCTAATTTAAGAAAATTTTGTTTTTAAAATATGTTTTATTAATAAAATAAAGAAAACATTATATGTAAAAATAGCTAAAATGTTCATCTACACTAACTTCAACCAATACAGTCAGAAAAGTAACTTTAACCTTACTTTTTCTGCTTATTACACAATTTAACGCGGGAAAGCAAAATTTACGTGTTTGGTGAAAATGTTGACTAATAAGCTGAAAAACTGTGTTACCAAACAGCTTCTAGGTTAGGTTGGGTTAAGTTAATTGTACGACTCTTTGATATTGCTGATGCAGTTACTTATTAAAATTTCCCTCACTAATAGGTTGTGCCCACGGGTGGCAGAGCACTAAGTCGCACTGGATTGTTACAAAGAATATTTTTGAAAAATATTTTAAAGAAACTGTTTATCTTAAAATATAGACATTTTTAAAATTTGAGGTGAGTCCGGATCAGATTTACCCCCAGCTACGCCCCTGATTGTAGGGATTTAGAACACTCAATTTACATCCTTCCATATAAGTGTTCAATTGGAGTGTTATTTTTTAAATTGGAACAAGGGGCCGAACAACTGGCTAAGTTAAGGTAGGGGTGTCCCTACCTCCTTGGTTGGGAAGTAATCACCCGGTTCCAGATTTTAGAGACCAAAACCCGCGCCTATTCAGTTTCAAAATTGGCGATTCTTGTTCCAATTTGATTCGATTCTCGTTCAATTCTTCAGTTCTGACTTTTTTTGAAATATTAAAGTTTAGTTGTTTTGTTGAAGTAAATTAACAATAGAGCTCCCAAAAAATTATTACGAAAAGAAATATCTATCGTGTTATAACTAAGTACAATAATGACATGCTTCCTCCGTCCCACAAAAATTCGCCAAAATTGGCTTGCACGTAAATAAACAAAGTAAAAACTGTGTGGTTGAAATATGTGCAGAGCCGCAGAGGTGAGAGAAATAACATTAGCCCCATATTTCTTACTTTAAATGAAAGTGACAAAATTCTTTGAGACGAGCCAAAAAGAAAATTTGGTCAAATTTTATGGAACGGAGAGAGTAGTTAATAGCCAAGTGGTTATAATTTAGATTGTAAAAAATCACACCCTATTATTTTATAATAATTTAGTTATTAATAAATTATGAGTACTTATTACTCCTTACTAATGATCTTAATAAAAAGATGTTGTATCCAGGGGCGGATCTACTTACAATGTTATGGGGGCAGCTGCCCCCAATAAAATCCTATTAAACCCTTAGTAAATGATAAAGTTTAGATATTTACCCTTAATAAACAACCGATTGTCCCCCAAAAAAAAATTGGTTGCCCCCAATAAGTCCTGTCCGTCCACTCCGAAGACACACTTGACGGCTGAGTAGGAAAGAAAACCTAGGTGTTTTGATGACTCATTGATCGTTGGGTTAGTCTTGTATGCGTTTGTTCCTTTGGTTGTTAAAACTCTTACTCCGTAGGTCGTTATGTTACTTTTTTTAACGTGTTTTATATAAAAACACGTATTTATGTTACTTTTTAAATATGAATAATAGATACTGTTATTAAATTTATTACGGAGTATAATGCTATTAATTTATTTTATGGTTATTGGAGTACATCCATAAATTTGTTGATCTGTTTAAGTCTGGTGTTGTTTGGTCTGAACTGGTCTGATAAATGTTTGAGATTTGTACATTTTATAGGTATAAAAATCTATTTAAGTCTAGTATGGTCAAGAACTGAAAAATAGTTTACGTAAAAACATTCTTATTGAAATAGTTATCCATCTACTAGAGTCAGGTTCTTCTAAAAAAATCTATTAGAGTCTGAATTTTACATCTATTAGAAAATGTCATTTAATAAATAATTTTTTAATTGTAAATAATATGTTATTGTAGATAGTTAAATATAATATTATAACTATAATGGATGTCAATTCAATTCTTGATGAAAACTCGTTGCAAACAATTGTGATATATTTTGAGTTTTTTACAAGAATATTACCAAAATAAAACATTTTTGCATAAATATGACTATTCATTACTACAATGTGGTGTTGTGGTAACTTAAGCTCAAAACTTGAACATGAATTACTATGATTTCATTACTACTATAGTTACTAGTTATATTTTCGTAAATAATCTTTATTTTGGTCATATTTATGTAATTATGTCCAAATTTATGTCATTGTAACAACACAATTATATTTTACTAATTTTCTTCTTCTTTTGTTCTACCACTTTTACACATTATTCTCTTTGTCCCATTTTACATATCTTACCTTTCAATTTAAGTTACCTCAAAATAAGTGTCATATTTTCTTGTTGGGAAATAAATATGGAATCCACTATATTTCACTTTATCATACTCAAACCGTTATCATAATTTTTAATTTCTCATGCACTTTATTAATAATATGTCAAATCGAAACAAGACATAAAAGGCAGATAAGTTGTATTCTTAATTACTCTGCCCCCAATAAATATTTTTTCTGGATCCGCCACTAGTTGTATCTACTAATAACTAATGAGTAGTTACTAGTATTACATACAATTGTCATTTCTATTGTTAGTATAAGTAATATTATTATTATTAGAGCATCTTCAATGGTAAGATGTTAGCATTACTAAAAACTGCCGTGTCATAAATGTCAACATTGCTTCTCTTATTTATGTCTCCAATGCAATACGTGTGAGGCCATACCATGCCGATTTGTCAAAGACACTGTTTCGGTGACTATCTTGGAATAACATGATGTTTGACATGCTGACTCAGCATATTTCATTAGAGAAATGCAGTAAAAATAAAGAGAAACTGTGAAAGTCCTCCCATCCACAAAAAATCCGCCACCCAAGATATATCTATCCAACAACTGGGTTTCTCTTCTCTTCCACAAAATAGTTCGTGCATATCAAGAAATTCCAGAGTCCAGTTTACAACGTAGCAGATTTGTGTTGGGAAAAAATTTAATTTCTTGTATATATTGTTTTCCGTATCCACAATTTTTCTCTTAAAATTACTTCTTATTTTCTAAAATGAATTTCACAATCACATGTTTTGATCTTTCTCTCTGCCGCTGATTAATTCATTCTTTTTTAATGGAATGTGCAAGCCCAACATGGAATTGAAGAGGTTTGACATGCAGACATGTAGTTGAAGATTTTTATTTTAAAGCAAAAGGCTTACTCGTAAAACATTCATATTGTCGGTCAACACAAAGAGCATTGGACAAGATTTTTGGATTCCACCGTCTGTTTATATGATGTGGATGGACATTCCATTTATTGATTGACATGTGTTAAAATTTTACTCAATGTTAACACCGTAGCATTAAAGATGCTCTTAGTATTAATCATATTATTAGTAGTAGTAAATACGGAGTAATTAATTAAAAAAGAGGTTTCAAACCGGAATTGCTGATTTTGGTAACAATTTTTGGGAGAGTCGAACCAGACTATTAAACCTTTGATTCCAAATTGAAAGTACTATGCAGTTCCAATCACAATTCTGAATAACCAAAAATTATGGACATGTCTAAGTTTACGGGCTATGCCTATATGTTGTCTAGGATATTTTGGACATAGATCGCAAAGGATTTGCATAAATATAGCATTTCCTTACAGTTAGAAGCGTAGTTATCTTCAAGAATTCATTTGAATGCCTTCCCGATTCAAGTTTTAGCTGAAATTTGGTATGAGTAAACTAGACTTGATGAATAAGATGCTCAAAAAAATTCATCAAGAAATTCCATCGGGAACCACCCCAAATGAAGACGGCCGGACAGAGCCTCCTAAATAAGGGCTTATTTGACCTTTTTTGGTTAGTACATGGGCCTATTTGCACCTTTTTCCTTGTTTAAATAATTGCAACTTTCTTTTGTAATAGCTATTCAATTGTCTCCAGGTCCACCCCTCCCTTATTGTCATAGCCATTGATTATATGTTAACTACTTCCGGATTAGCTTTTCCTAACTTTTTTAGAAAACAAATGAAAATATCACCCTAATATTCTCTTTCAATGACAAGTTCGATAGAACTAATAGCAAAATTGGCAATCACTAGTACTAATATAATAAACTGAAATTGACATTTAAAACTGTTGATGACATATAAACTAGGTGTAGAATTCATTAATTTTCAATTCTATTACCTTGTGATGGAGTATATGGCCCAGGAACCCCGGCCCATAGACTCCTACCTCTCCCACAAAGGCCCGTTGAGTCCAAGGTGCATCTGGAGCCCAGATACAACGGCCCAAGTCTCCACGAAGCCCGAAACACACACGGAGGTGCCTTCGGCCTCCTTGGCCGAGGGCTCCGAAACTCACAGGGCAGCCTTTTCGGGCATATGAAGCTACTGGAAGAAAACGACAGAAAACAGGAGCCTTCGGCATTATCAAGCCCTCGGCATCAGGGAAGCCTCCGGCTGATTCAAGCCTTCGGTCACATGGAGCCCTCGGCTACTCGAGGAGCCTTCGGCTAACAGCTCGATCATCGAAGATTCCCTTTGGAGACAGCCAACCACCGCATTTAATGCGACGTCACATCCACCCACCGCATTCAATGCGGTGAACATGCCACTGCCGGTGCCACCCGATTGATGTAACCCTTCGGCCGTTGGATTACTGACACGTGTACTCTCATCGCATTTATTGCTGCTATAAATAGCGCCCATTTCTCCTTGTAAACGATCCCAGATCTCACATCTCGAGTTCATTTAATAAATCGACTCTCTCTCCTCCTATTTTGCTCTGACTTCTCTCTAGTTATTCCCGCAATAACCCCTCGGATAAGATACCCCCAGGTAGACTATCCATCACCTTGTAAATCAGATTTTTATCTAAAATACTCACTTTCAAAACTAAACTTCAATATAGTAATTTTTTGGGAGGAAACCTATAAATCATAAGCAAGGGTAATTTGGAAGAGAAATGGTGACA